GCAGTGACAGAGGGTCTGTGCTCACCGGACAGGGCTGCTCGGGCGGCTCGGCTGCAGGGCGGCTCGGCCGCTGGGCGGCTCGGCGGCTGGGCGGCTCGGCGGCTGGGCGGCTCGGCAGCTGGGCGGCTCGGCGGCTGGGCGGTCGGCTGCACGGCGGCTCGACTGGTGGGCGGCCGGGCGGCTCGGCTGCAGCGCGGCTCGGCAGCGGGGCGGCTCGGCTGCTCTGCTGCTGGGCGGCTCGGCTGCGCTGCTGTTGGGCGGCTCGGCTGGGCCGCTGACGTAGGGCGGCGGGGCCGCTGAAGAAGGACGGCGGGGCCGCTGGGTAGTGAGGCGGCGGGGCCGCGAAGACGGGCGGCGGGGCCGCTGCAGAGAAGCGGCGGGGCCGCAGTGAAGGGCGGCGGGGCCGCAACGAGAGAGGCGGCGGGGCCGCAGCGAGAGAAGCGGCGGGGCCGCGAAGTCGTGCGGCGGGGCCGCTGAGTAGGGCGGCGGGGCCGCAGTGAGAGGCGGCGGGGCCGCAGCGAGAGAGGCGGCGAGGCCGCAGCGAGAGAAGCGGCGGGGCCGCGAAGTCGGGCGGCGGGGCCGCTGAGTAGGGCGGCGGGGCCGCAGTGAGAGGCGGCGGGGCCGCAGCGAGAGAGGCGGCGGGGCCGCGAAGTCGGGTGGCGGGGCCGCAGTGAGTGGCGGCGGGGCCGCAGCGAGAGATGGCAGCGGGGCCGCGAAGACGGGCGGCGGGGCCGCAACGAGAGAGGCGGCGGGGCCGCAGAAAAGGGCGGCGACGGGCCGGGGCGGCTCGAAGCCGCAGGTAGAGGCGGCGCGAAGCCGCGGGAAGGGCGGCGACGGGCCTGGGCGGCGCGAAGCCGCAGGTAGGGGCGGCGCGAAGCCGCCGGTGAGGGCGGCGCAAAGCCGCGGGTAAGGGCGGCGACGGGCCGGGAAAAGGGCGGCGCGCCGCAGCCGCTAGGGCGGCTCGACGCGACCGTAAGGGCGGCGCGACGGGCCGCTAGGTGCGACTCGACGGGCCGCTAAAAAAAAAAAAAGGCAGGCGCGACTCGAGGCGCGCTTCGGTGGGCCCAAGGAACAGTCCCTAGGAGGGGACCTGCTCTGATTCCATGTGAAAATGAGAACGAGAATGAGTGAACTATGAAATGAAGTGAGTACAAATATGAAACCCTAATTGGTTGTACCCCCTATGGGATACCCCACTATAGCCTACATAACAGCATAAGCTAAAATGTTCTGACAGGTTAGGGCGAGGCGGTCCACGACGCACCATGCAAGACAAGACCTTGCTTTTGCCCTTGTCGCTTGTGTTCGTAGAGAGACGCGCCGGAGCTTGGGACATCCTGGCGACGGCTGGCGGCGACACAGTTTGGTTGCGCGCTGAGGCTCCTCATTGCTGGTGAGCAGCGGCACTCTTCTGGTTGTTGTTGTTACCATTCAACTTCCAGCAGTCTTGAATCATGTGCCCAGTCTTCTTGCAGTATTTGCAGAAGAGTCTTTTCTTGTCCGGTGGCGCTTGAGCGTAAAAGGCGATCTTCTCCTTCTTGTTGCCTCTTTCGTTGTACACGTCGATTTCCTTCTGCTCGGAGAGAAGCGTGGAGCAGAGGGCAGTTTCACTGAGAGTGCCTTGTGTGCGAAGGAGAGACTTGCATTGACGCCATTCCGGGCTCAATCCAGCGAGGATGATAGTGACGAACATGTCGTCAGGGAAGTTGCCGCCGCTTTTCCTGAATTGGTCTCTCAGGTTCCTGCAGCGGTTGATGTATGGTCCGGCCTTTTCGCCGGGAAACATCTTGACGTTGTTCAGCTGGTTGAGCAGGCGACTGAGTGTCACCAAATCTGTTGCCATGTGGCAGGTGCGCATGTGTTCCCAGGACTGTTGCGCGGGCGCCCACTCGTTTTTGAAGGGGCGGATGCTCAGCTGTTCTTCGGGCGACAAGTTCCGAATCAAGACGGTGAAGGCCATGAGCGATTCATTGTAGTACTGCGTCTTCTCCTGAGGTGAGCTGTTAGTTGGGAAAGCGTACGAACCGTCGTAGTACATCCAGATTTGAGCGCCCTGAGCTAGTAGCTCGAATTCGAAGCTCCAGGTGTAGAAGTCTTGTCCATCGAAGGGCTTGGTCGTCCTGAGCTTCGATGTAGAGAGGAACTTGCTCTGCATTAAAGCCATTGCCTCGTAATGTGTTTGTTGTGCTTGAGCAGATCCTTGAGCTCCGCGGTTATCGAAGGTGAAGGATCGTTCAGATCCAGCTCCTTGAGGATCGGGAGGTCTTCGGACGTAACTTGAGCCGTCAATGCTCATTGGCTGGTGGCTCTCCAGTACGCTGATGCGGGAGATCAGCTGCTCGAGGAGCGCTGTGTCCACAGTCATCGTAGTAGAGGCGACATTAGTGGAGGGTTGCACTGGATTTTCTCCAGCCTCTCCGCAGTCTGCGCCTGGCATGTTGATGCCCTTGATGTTGTTTGATGTTGAGACTTATTTATGATGAAGCTTTGTTGGAATCCCCTTTAGCAGATCCTATAATCCAAACTAGCTCTCATACCATGTTAGAGTGAGGACCTTGGATAGGATAGGAGTTGCTTAGAAGAGTTGGTAGCGGAAGTCTTGTTGTAAGAACTCAGATCATAGTGAATGTAGATGACCAAGTTGATTAAAAGATAGAATACAAGGGATATAAATAGTCCTAACTAGCCATGTACTCTAAGGGGTACATTCCCTTATTATAACTGCTTTACAGGCATTTCTACAGTGACTCTGACTGTTGTACTACCTTCTTGTTACCAAGTCGCTGCATGTAACCTGTACGGTTACGCCTGTTGCCATTCCTCGATGGTAAGTCAAGCGTCGGTCCAGATGGTCAACAGTCGCGATAGTTGACTCTTGCGACTGTTGACCTTCCTGCCCTTGATATGGGCTGATTCGATACTGCGGTTGTTGCTGCTTCGACAGAGTTAGGTGCGATACTACTGCACCTACGGGAATGCTAAGTATAATTCCCTTCACACTCCAACATACACTACAGCTAGAACTACATGCAGGTATAAGAATATAATTCTGACAGAATTTCTCCAGGTTCTCCGCAATCTGCGCCTGGCATAGTGCTGGCATTATATGTAAGATATTTGTATTGATAAAACCGTTTTGCAGAATGATGTTTTTGGCAGTTCCTATAATTCAAATCGGCTCTCATACCATGTTAGGATAAAGAACTTGGAAAGAATAGGTCTGCCCTAGAATGGTAGCGAAAGTCTTAACTGTGGTAGGAACCTTGTACATAGTGAACGTAGATGGCAAGATTTATTAAAAGGTGAGAATACACACAATAAATATATCTAACTAGCAATGTACTCTAAGGGGTACATTCCCTTATTATAACTGTTTTACAGACATTTTTACTGTAACCCCGACTATTGCCCTTCTCCTGTTATCAGGTCGCTACATGTAACTCGATAGATAGTTATGCATGTTGTCATTCTTCGCTTGGTAGGTCGTTCGGTCCAGATGGTCATCAATCGCGACAGTTGACCTTTGTGATTGTTGACCTTCCAGCCCTGAATGGGCTGATCCGATGCTGCTGCTGCTGCTGCTGCTGCTGTTGCTTCGGTAGTAGTGGGTGCGATACAGTTGCACCTACGGGAATGCTTAAGTCGATTCCCTACTTATTCCAACAGGGTGTATGACGGGAGGGGGGTTGGGGGGTGGTGGGGGAGGGGGAGGGGGTGGGCAGGCCAGTACGATATTTTCTCGGTATAAGATGAAATTGTACGCGCTGTCTGAAATTCCAGGACGAAATATAACAGTTAGTCATTTTTTTTACAGACTAAATGAAATTATTGGTCTAGTGTTTCAGATGAAAAAAATTTGCTGGTGTGAAATATTAGATGAATTAAATAAAGAGGTATGATTTTCAAACCGACAGACCGATTTGGTCTCATAACCAAAGCCTTGAGTCACACAAAGACCTATTTATCCCATTTCTTATTATATTCCAGAGTGATATTTCCTTAAGCAAAATTGGCCTTCCCTCGTGTCAACATCTCACCAATTCATAAGGAGTGGCATGTTGAGTCAACGATGACATTTGGTTATGGATCTGTCATCCAAGCTGTTTTTAACCCACTGTCATACAAACATGAATCTCTCATGGACCTAGACAGATAGAGGGAAAGAAGGGAAAGAAAGACATAAATGAAGGAGAAAAGAAATGAAGAAAGGGAGAAGGAAAGTGCAACCGCCACGATGACATTTCGTGGTTGCCTCAGGCTTGCAACAACTCGGCGGGGTTGCTGTGGCGACAGCTAGCAATGTGGAAATTGGGTTTCAGTTAGGACGCGTTACAGGTAAAATGTTCCCAGGATCATTAGGAAATACCGAACCTACACATCATTTCATCCGAACCTAGGGAAAGTCGATGTGCAGATTTTGAAAAACCGAGCTGCAGACAAAAAGGGCTTCTAGTACGTTCCACCCCCAGGGTTTCTCTCGAAGCGCACTGTGCTAGGTTGGGTCAGACACTGCCTGAACACGTTTTCGTCAAACACTTGGAAATATACGTGGCGACAGTCGTCAGCCCAGAATGTCCTGTTCTAAGGCGCCAACCGTTTTTCAACGAAATTGAATCGCCTTCGCCAAAGCGCAATTAATCGTGCCTGGTAATCTCATGCTGTGCGGGAGCTAGGATCACTTTCACCCCAGATCAGTTGCACGATGCCAGCACACCGACCATCCCCGTTATGGAAATGTCAACATAGTACACAGCGCAGCTGTAGTTATGCTGGTTACCACCGTAAATGATCGGCGATCGTTTCTGAAGCAGGATCGATTGTGCACTTGTAACGCGTCCTTAGTCCCATCACACGAAGTGCAAAATTCAGCTAGAAGCGACGCTCGAGCCGTGCCTTTTTTAGGGTTACGTTCTCTTCTCATTGCGTCCATTCCCTCATCTTGTCCGTAACCTTCGTGTAGCCCTCATTTCGCGCGTGTATCCTTCGAACGTATCGCTCGCATGCGTCGCCCACACGTCGCACGGTGTCGCCGGGAGCGCGAGCCACATCGCACCGCGAGGGTATCCTGCGTGCTGCTCCTGCTGGCGCTCGTTTCAGCCAGTCCGCAAAATGCGGCGTCTATCGCGGCCAACATGCCACCTGGCGCCGCCACCCTATTGGAGCAGCAAGCGGAGCGTGAGCGGCCCTCCACTTCCGTTTTACCCAGTGCCCCCCCCGCTCTCCGTGCTATTCCCTCTCTCCCCGCTATTCCTGCTCTCCCCGCTATTTCCGCTCTCCCCGCTATTCCCGCGCTCCCCGCTATTCCCGCTCTCCCCGATATTCCCGCTCTCCCCGCTATTCCTGCTCACCCCGCTATTCCTGCTATTCCTTCTCGCCCCGCTCACCCCGCTATTCCCGCTATTCCTGCTCTCCCGGCTCTCCCTGCGCTCCCCAACCTCCCCTCTGTCCGCATTATCTTCGCGCACCGCTCTCCTCTCTCTTCTCCCTACCCTCTCTGCTCTCTGCTCTCTGCTCTCTGCTCTCCTCCTCCTCCTCCTCCTCCTCCTCCTCCTCCTCCTCCTCCTCCTCCTCCTCCTCCTCCTCCTCCTCCTCCCCCTCCTCCTCCTCCTCCTCCTCCTCCTCCTCCTCCTCCTCCTCCTCCTCCTCCTCCTCCTCCTCCTCCTCCTCCTCTCTTGCTCCTCCTCCTCCTCTCCTGCTCCTCCTCCTCCTCTCCTGCTCCTCCTCCTCCTCTCCTGCTCTCTTCATCTCCTTCTCTCATCTACCGACTGCCTTTCCCAATACCGCCCGCGTGCTCCGGGCCTCTCCGTTCCGCCTTACCCCCCCCCCCCCCCCCCATTATCCGCCCCTTCGCATGCCCGCACGCAGGCGCAGGCTGCGCCGCGCAGCGCTGCTGGCGTTCTGGGAGACGACGAGGCACAGCGAGGGGCTGAGGGCGAGCGGGCCGGTGCCTAGCCTTCTCCCCACTGCCTTCCCCTGCGAGCGGGTGTGTAGCTTAACCATCTCCCCACTGTCCCCTTCCTCACCCCCTCTCACAGGTGCAGCGCTGCTGGCGTTCTGGGAGGCGATGGGGCGCAGCGAGGGGCTGAGGGCGAGCGGGTGGGGCAACACGTCTCTGCCATGTGACCCGCAAAAACCCCCGTGGGGAGGCGTGCACTGCAGCGAGACAGGGCACGTGGACGGCGTGTGAGTGGCGGTGTGTAGAGGAAGGGACGTCTTTGCATCACATGGCATGGCGCAGCATGGCACGGGGAGGCGTGCACTGCAGCGAGTCAGGGCACGTGGGTGTCATGCTGCATGTGAGTGGTGGTGCTGTGGCATGCCGTGGGATGGGATGGGATGGCCTGCCACCCCATGCCACCCCATGCCACCCCACGCCACCCCACGCCACCCCATGCCACCACATGCCACCACATGCCATCACATGCCGTCACATGCCATCACATGCCATCACATGCCATGACATGTCATACATGCCATTCCCATTCCTGGGGGGACCGGAGTCCCCCCAGGGGAAGCAGCTGCAGGGGCAGGTGCCTTGAGTGGGCGTGCTTCCCATTCGTCTTTTCCTGTCCTCATGCTGCCTCTTCTCCCACCACCAGCGAGCTGCCATACAAGGGACCGGAGTCACCTCAGGGGAAGCAGCTGCAGGGGCAGGTGCCGTGGGCCTCCATGACAGCCCTCTCACGCCTCACAATGCTCGACCTCAGCTTCAACCAGGCCTCGGGACCTCCTGTCACCCCTGCTGTTTCCGCCTTTTCTGCCCTGCAAGCCCTGTAAGCCTTTACTTCCTTGCAAGCTCTGTGAGTCAACGCTTGCGGCACCCCGGGACCTGCAGGGGCAGGTGCCATGGGCGGGCATGGCAGCTCTCTCGCGCCGCGCATATCTCGATCGCAGCTTCAACCAGGCCTCGGGGCCTCCCGTCACCCCTGCTGTCCCTGCCTTCACTGCCCTGCAAGTCCTGTAAGCCTTCACTGCCCTGCAAGCCCTGTAAGTACACTGAGGTTGAGACGACTCAAAGTCCACACATCAGCTTCAACCACGCATCAGGGCCTCTCATCTCTCCTGCCGTTACCGCCTTCACTGCCCTGCAAGCACTGTGAGTGTCTTAGGTTTTCACTTCTCAAAACTCAACACATCAGCTTCAATCAACCAGGCCTCAGGCTCATGTACAACAAGCTCTCAGGTCGCATCCCTGCTGTTCTCGGCTCAACCCTTCTCCCCCCCCCCCCGCTCGGTGTTCCCCGTGCACCCATTTGTTTTCCCCCGTTCCCCTTTCCCCCACGGCCCCTCACAGCCAGTTGATGTACAACAAGCTTACTGGCCCCGTCCCTGCTGTTCTCGGCTCCCTGCCTGCGCTGCAGATACTGTGAGTCTTAGTTGACAGCCCCCTCCCACATGTGCTTAGGCACTGTAAACCCCCGACACCCGTGCTGCAGATACTGTGAGTCCCAACCAAGGCCCCCTGCCCTTGGAGGTTTTGTGAGCCATCCCGGCCCACTGCGGTGTGATGTGGTGCACTGTGGTGTGATGTGATGCACTGCGGTGTGACGTGAGGTTCTGCCCAATCCCTCTCTTCCCACCTCCCCCCTGCCCAACCTCCCCCCTGCCCAACCTCCCCCCTGCCCAACCTCCCCCCTGCCCAACCTCCCCCCTGCCCAACCTCCCCCCTGCCCAACCTCTCTCCTGCCCAACCTCCCCCCTGCCCAACCTCCCCCCTGCCCAACCTCCCCCCTGCCCAACCTCCCCCCTGCCCAACCTCCCCCCTGCCCAACCTCCCCCCTGCCCAACCTCCCCCCTGCCCAACCTCCCCCCTGCCCAACCTCCCCCCTGCCCAACCTCCCCCCTGCCCAACCTCCCCCCTGCCCAACCTCCCCCCTGCCCAACCTCCCCCCTGCCCAACCTCCCCCCTGCCCAACCTCCCCCCTGCCCAACCTCCCCCCTGCCCAACCTCCCTCCTGCCCAACCTCCCCCCTGCCCAACCTCCCCCCTGCCCAACCTCCCCCCTGCCCAACCTCCCTCCTGCCCAACCCACTCCTGCCTGCATCTGCGTGTGTGCCCACACCTGTCCCCTTGCCTGCAGCGAGCTGGATTACAATCAACTCTTGGGCTCGCTGCCCTCCACCCTCGGCCTGCTTGTCTACCTGCCCGCCCTCCTGCGTAACCTGTGTCTCCCGGGTGGTCACCCCTGACCCTGTATGCCCACCCCTATGTGTGTGCCCACACCTGTCCCCTTCTTGCAGCGAGCTGGGCTACAATCAACTCTCAGGCCCTCTGCCCTTCACCCTCGGCCTGCTGCCTTCTCTGCAAGCACTGTACGTGCTGCCACACACCTGCCACTGCAAGCACTGTATGTGCTGCCACACACCTGCCACTGCAAGCACTGTATGTGCTGCCACACACCTGCCACTGCAAGCACTGTATGTGCTGCCACACACCTGCCACTGCAAGCACTGTATGTGCTGCCACACACCTGCCACTGCAAGCACTGTATGTGCTCTCTGCGAGCTTCCAGACAGCTTCCAGGCAATTCCCAGGCAGTTTCCAGGCAGCTGTCAGGCACTTGTAAGCAGCTCACCACGAATGTGCTTGTCTTGATGCCCACATGCATGCTTGACTTGACGGTCTCCACATGCACACTTATGAATGAATAGAAATTACTTTGCACATCCGCCCTCCCCCTCTACCCCCCCGCATCCCTTTCAGCAGCATCGCAGGTTCACTGCCCGCCTCTCTCTCGCGCCTCTCCTCCGCACCCACCCACCCATCCCTCCCCTCCCCCTCCCCCCTTCCCCCCTCCAGCCGCATCCCATTCAGCAACATTACGGGGTCCGTGCTGGCCTCTCTCTCGCGCCTCTTCTAGCCTCTTCTCCCCATTCAACCTTCTCCCACTCCCCCATCCCTCCCTCCCTACAACACCCCCTTATCCCCCCTCCTCCCCCCTCCTCCCCTCCAGCCGCATCCCCTTCAGCAACATCACGGGGTCCCTGCCCGCCTCTCTCCTGCGCGCCTTTTCTTGCCTCTCTTCCCCATTCAACTCCCACTCCCCCATCCCTCTCTCCTCACCCCCTTATCTCTGCCCCCTCCTCCCTTCCCTCCTCCCCATCCCTTACAGCCGCATCCCATTCAGCAACATCACGGGGTCCCTGCCGGCCTCGCTCTCGCGCCTCTCAGCGCTGAGCTCACTGCGACTCACACAGAACCTTCTCGCTGGCCCCCTCCCCGCCAACCTCTCAGCACTCACCGCACTTACCGAACTGTGAGTGGCCTTGCTGCGGCTCACATATAGCCTTCTCTTTGGCCCCTTCCAACTTCTCAGCACTCACCGGACTCACTGATCTGTGAGTGCTTGCCTCTCTCTTCCGCCTATCCTTGTTGCCTCTCACGGCGCATCTTCTCTTTGGCCCCCTCCCCGCCAATATCCCACCACTCACCGCACTCACTGAGTTGTGAGTGCTCTCACCAGCACTGCCAGCACTGCCAGCAGCACTGTAGGAACTCTTAGTCCTGTCATTCTCTATTGTCCCGTCCACCCCTCCCGCCTCCCGTCCACCCCTCTCGCATCCCTCCACCCCTCTCGCATCCCTCTACCCCTCTCGCATCCCTCCACCCCTCTCGTCTCCCTTCATTATACAGCGTGTTCTCTCCGGTGTCCTTCTGAAGGCCGCGCCTTCTAAGGCTCTCGCGCTCTCTCTCCCTCCTCTTACAGGAATCTGGCGAAGAATCAGTTGAATGGCTCTCTGCCTGCCTCGTGGGGTGCACTCACCTCACTTGCTGACCTGTGAGTGCCGTGTTTGTGCGCGCGTGCGTGTGTGGATGTGTGTCTGTGTGTGTGGGGGGGGGGGTGGGGCTGTGGGTGGGTGTGTGTCGATGTGTGTGTGATTGTGTGTGTGAGTGTGTGTGTGTGGGTGGGTGTGTGGAGATGGGGGTGTGTTGGGATGGGGGTGTGTGGGTGGACGTGTGGGGATGGGTGTGTGTGTGGCGGGGGGTGGGGGGGCGGGAAGAGAATGGGGGGTTGTGTGGGTGGGTGTGTGTGGATGGGTGTGTGGGTGTGTGTGGGTGTGTGTGTGTGTGTGTGTATGGGCCTGTGGGTGAGTGTGTGGGGATGTGTGTGTGTGTGTGTCTGTGTGATTGTATGTGTGTGTGAGTGTGTGAGTGTGTGTGTGTGTGTGGGTGGGTGTGTGGGGATGGGGGTGTGTGTGTGTATGGGTAGTGTGTGTGTGTATGGGTTGTGTATGTGTGTGTGTGTGTGTGTGTGTGTGTCCCACCTCTCCCCTCATGCCCATGTCCTAACACCCCACGTGTCCATGTCCCACCTGTCCCCACCTGTCACACCCCACCTCCCCCCACCCCACATGCCCTTGTCCCACCTCCCCCCACCCCACATGCCCTTGTCCCACCTCCCCCCACCCCACATGCCCTTGTCCCACCTCCCCCCACCCCACATGCCCTTGTCCCACCTCCCCCCACATGCCACACCCCAACACCCCAACGACCCTACCCACGTCTTCACAACGCCTCGTCCCTCGCCCCCCCATCCCCTTCCCCAGCTCTCACCTTCAGTGGCAAACATCCCTTGCTTCCCCTGCCCCCCCCGCCACCCCTGTCCATCCTCATCCCACCCCTGCTCCCCCCTGCCCTCCCATGCTCCGCCCTGCTTCTTCATGCCCCCCTGTGCCACCGCTGATCCCCATGCCCACCCGCGCTCCCGCCCACCATCTTTCCTCCCTTGCCCCTCCCCTTTTTCCCACCACCAGCAAGGTGTCGGTGAATGCTCTGAGCGCCACGCTGCCAGCCTCGTGGAGAAAATTCTTGTCTCTCAGGCAGCTGGAGGAGCTTCCCTCCCTACCCCTCCTTGGTCCCCCTCTCCTTTCCCCCCTGCCCACCCTTGCCTCCCCTGCCTTGCCTTGCCTTGCCTTACCCCCCTCCACCCGCACACCAGCAAGGTGTCAGTGAACCATCTCAGCACAGCAGCAAGGTGTCAGTGAACCATCTCAGCACACCAGCAAGGTGTCAGTGAACCATCTCAGCACACCAGCAAGGTGTCAGTGAACCATCTCAGCACACCAGCAAGGTGTCAGTGAACCATCTCAGCACAGCAGCAAGGTGTCAGTGAACCATCTCAGCACACCAGCAAGGTGTCAGTGAACCATCTCAGCGCCACGCTGCCCGCTTCATGGGGAAAAGTCTCGTCACTCCAGCACCTGGACCTTCCCTTACCCCCTCTTCCAACCTGCCCAACCCCCTCTTCCAACCTGCCCAACCCCCTTTTCCAACCTGCCCAACCCCCTTTTCCAACCTGCCCAACCCCCTTTTCCAACCTGCCCAACCCCCTTTTCCAACCTGCCCAACCCCCTCCCTACCCCCCTTTGCCTTCCTCCCTGCCCTGCGTCCTCTGCCCACCCCCCACCCACAAGCACAGTGTTGTCAAATCATCTCAGTGGCACGCTCCTAGCCTCATGGGGCAAACTCCCGTCGCCCCAGCACCTGGTGCTTCCTCCGCCCTTTTGACCTCCATCTCCTACCCCCCCCCCTCCCCACCCCACACCCTCTCTGCCCCTCACCCCCCTTCTACCACCAGCAAGGTGTCGGTGAATACTCTCAGCGCCACGCTCCCAGCCTCATAGAGCAAGCTCTCGGCGCTCAGGCAGCTGGCGCTTCCTTACTTCCATGCCCCCCTTTGCCCCCCTGCCAGCAAGGTGTCAGTGAATTCTCTCAGCGGCTCGCTGCCAGCCTCGTGGAGCAAGCTCTCGTCTCTCAGGCAGCTGGCGGCTTCCAGCAACAACATCACAGGGCCCTTCCCCTCCTTCCTGCTCTCGCTACCGAATATTGAGGAGATGTGAGTGGTTGGAGGGAGAGACCAGGGGGGAGGGATGTGTGTGTGGCTTAGAGCTCACCTCTTGTCGCTCAGGCAGCTGGCAGCCGCCAGCAACAACATCACAGTGCCCTTCCCCTCCTACCTGCTCTCGCTACCAAACATAGAGGAAATGTGAGTGGGTGCAGCAAATGGGGGAAGGGGGGTGTTTGGGCTGCTACTGCTGCCGTTGCCGCTGCCGCCCCCGCTGCTGCTGCTGCTGCTGCTGCCGTTGCCACTGCCGCCCCCGCTGCTGCTGCTGCTGCTGGTGTTGCTGCTGCTGCCGCCGCCGCTGCAATGATACTCATTGCTACTGCACAGGGGGGACCTTACCGCTATTCCGCACATGCCACCCTTCTGTCGTCCCTGACCATACCTCTATCAATCTGCCTGCATTTCTTCCTGCCTGCCTGCCTATGTGCCTGTCTCCCTGCATGCCTGTCTCTCTGCATGCCTGCTTGCCTGTCTGCCTGCCTGCCTGTCTGCCTGCCTGCCTGCCCGCCTGCCTGTCGTCATGTCTGCCTGTGCATTGCCACAGCATTCTGAACAGCAACAGCATGTACGGCCCAGTACCGCCCAACATCACCATCTCTCCCAGCGTCACATCCGTGTGAGTGAGCTTAGTGTCACATCCGTGTGAGTGAGCTTAGTGTCACATCCGTGTGAGTGAGCTTAGTGTCACATCCGTGTGAGTGAGCTTAGTGTCACATCCGTGTGAGTGAGCTTAGTGTCACATCCGTGTGAGTGAGCTTAGTGTCACATCCGTGTGAGTGAGCTTAGTGTCACATCCGTGTGAGTGAGCTTAGTGTCACAACCCTGTGAGTGAGCTTAGTGTCACAACCCTGTGAGTGAGCTTAGTGTCACAACCCTGTGAGTGAGCTTAGTGTCACAACCCTGTGAGTGAGCTTAGTGTCACAACCCTGTGAGTGAGCTTAGTGTCACAACCCTGTGAGTGAGCTTAGTGTCACAACCCTGTGAGTGAGCTTAGTGTCACAACCCTGTGAGTGAGCTTAGTGTCACAACCCTGTGAGTGAGCTTAGTGTCACAACCCTGTGAGTGAGCTTAGTGTCACAACCCTGTGAGTGAGCTTAGTGTCACAACCCTGTGAGTGAGCTTAGTGTCACAACCCTGTGAGTGAGCTTAGTGTCACAACCCTGTGAGTGAGCTTAGTGTCACAACCCTGTGAGTGAGCTTAGTGTCACAAGCCTGTGAGTGAGCTGCTTAGCAGCGTCACAAGCCTGTGAGTGACCCCACCGTCACAACCATGCCACACCATACTGTGCCATGCCATGCCATACCGTGCCATGCCACGCTAACCACACGCCCTGATATGATTTATATTTCCAATGGATGCCTCCCCATACACCTGTACGTACTGATTACCCAAATGGATACCTTCCCACCCATACCCCCCATACGCCGGTATTGATCTCCCCCCCAGGGACATCGGGCTCAACTATTTCAACGGCTCTGTGCCGCCCTTTCTGGACCAGCCCGGCTTCACGTGAGTCACACGGGCACGTCACATGGGCATGTCACATGGGCGTGTCACATGGGCGTGTCACATGGGCATGTCACATGGGCATGTCACCTGGGCATGTCACATGGGCATGTCACATGGGCATGTCACCTGGGCATGTCACATGGGCATGTCACCTGGGCATGTCATCTGGGCATGTCATCTGGGCATGCCACATGGGCATTGATATCTCCCCAGGAACATCGGGCTGAACTGCTTAACGGCTCTGTGCCGCCCGCACTGGACCAGCCAGGCTTCACGTGAGTCAATGCAGGCAGCCAGGTGGCCAGGCAATCAGGCACGAGCAATAAGGTTATCAGGCAATCAGGTTGTTGGTAACCAGGTAACTGGATAACTTATGGTAGGGGGATAGCCAGGTAAGCTGGTGGCAGGAAACGTGTCGATGGTTAAGCAAACGATTGTCCCAACAGCGGTGGACCGTACCATAGGCCTCGTGTTTTAATTGTTTGAGTTGAGTGTTGTTTGAGTGTGTGTGTGAGTTGAGTATTTGAGTGTATGAGTTGAGTGTTTGAGTGTATGAGTTGAGTGTTTGAGTGTATGAGTTGAGTGTTTGAGTGTATGAGTTGAGTGTTTGATTGTATGAGTTGAGTGTTTGAGTGTGTGAGTTGAGTGTATGAGTCGAGTGTTTGAGTGTTCAAGTGTATGAGTTGAGTGTTTGAGTGTATGAGTGAGTCGAGTGTTTGAGTGTATGAGTCGAGTGTTTGAGTGTATGAGTCGAGTGTTTGAGTGTATGAGTTGAGTGTTTGAGTGTACGAGTTAGGCTGTGGTCAGTTCGTATGTCTTCTGTGCGTTCTCTGCGGTTTTATTTGGTTGGTTGTGTCTCGGTGCGAAATGGTAAACCTCGAAACCGCTTTCCACCTTGTGGAACCGTCCTGAGCCAGGGAGCGTGTGCTGTAAACGTGTGACGTGACTTGACCACGCCCACACCACGCCTTGTGCTCAGCCTTGTGCTTCGCCGTGTGTGGCCGTCTCTTCTGTTGTCCTGATGTCACCCCAAGCAAGTGTCATGTTAGAGCTATCACGCCTTCTTCTGTGCTGCCGTCCATCCTGCTGCTGTCTTGATGTCACTGCTCTAGCTCCCCTCTCCTGGCAAAAAATGCCTTCCCTAATTGGTCCCCACTTCTCTCTTTGCGCCAACCTTGTGGGCCCACACCGCACCACACCACACTCCACCACACCACCACGTCAGCTTCGTGGACAACTGTTTCAATGAGACGGGCAGCACCAATCAGAAGCAGCAGAACAGCTCCACCTGCACTATCTTCTACAACCTGCTCTACCCCCCACCCCCGGGTAAGCCCCCTTTCCTTCCCCATACGCCCCAATTCCTTTTCCGTATACCCCATATCACATATGTTTCCTCCCCTTCCCATATGCTCCCTCCCCTTCCCATATGCTCCCTCCCCTTCTCATAAGCTCCCTCCCCTTCCCGTATGCGGGTGGTGGTGGTGATGCGCGTGCGACTGATGCTGTTGATGGTGCTAAATGAAAGAAACTGCCCTTCTACGTCCTTCTGCAGCCCCACCATCCCAGGAGGTGGTAACGGTTCCTTCCTCTGCCTTCCCGGTGGCGGCGTGCTGCTGCCGGTGCTGCCGGTGCTAAGCTCTTCTGCTCCCCTTCCGTCCCTTCGCCTCTGTATGCCCACCAATCCAGGAGGTGGTAACCGTTACTTCCTCCGCCTTCCCAGTGGCAGCGGTGGTGGTGCCGGTGGTGGTGGTGGTGCTAGTGCTGCTGCTGCCACTGCAATTGGTGCTAATCCCCATTGCTTCCCCTTTCCCCCTCGCCCTTGCAGGCCCACCAATCCAGGACGTGGTAACTGTGCCATCCTCGTCCTTCCCAATAGCAGCAGTGGTGGTGCCGGTGGTGGTGGTGGTGCTAGTGCTGCTGCTCGCTGTCTTCCTTTGGCGGCGCTGGCACTCTGAAAGGCTTGCACGCATGCTGCGCAAGGAGATTGGCAGTGAGTGGGGAGGGGAGAGGGGGGGGGGGGGGGGGGTAAGTTGGGAGTGAGTGGGGGGGAGTACAGTAAGGGTATTGAGGTTGGAGGGGGGATGCGGGAGGAGAGAGGGGGAGGATGTGTGAGAGAGAGAGTGTGGAGGGTGGTGTCTGCTTGTGTGCGGTAAGGGTTGAGTGAGCATGCTGATTGCTCCGCCTGCCACCCTGTGCTGTGCTGTGCCCATTTCCTCCGCCTTTCAGCACTGCAGGCAGCTCGCGCTTCTTCTCTCTGGCGGACCTGCGGCGGGCCACCAAGGAGTGGCAGGCGGAGATGGGGGGAAGGGGGGGGGGGGGGGGGAGGGGGGGAAGCCCTTTGGTGCCTTGGTGTTGTTTCCAGCTCACCCCCACACCCACATGCCTCGTTCACGCACTGCCTGTCCGCCCTGTAGGCAGCTCGCGAGTCTTCTCCCCGGCGGAGCTGTGGTGGGCCACAAAGGACTGGCAGGCGGAGACATGGTTTGTTTTTTGTGCCTCCTTGCTCTCTGCAGCTCAGCCCACACATGCCTCTGTCACTGCCTGTCACCCCCTTGCGCCTTCTGCACTGCAGGCAGCTCACGCATGTTCTCTCTCGCAGAGCTGCGGCGGGCCAACAAGGACTGGCAGGCAGGAAGGGGCAGAAGCAGAGTCACTTCCACTTCCCCTCCTCTTTTCTCCCCCTCCCTTCCTCCTCTAATGGATTGCAGGCAGCTCACGCGTATTCTCCCTGGCGGAGCTGCGGCGGGCCACCAAGGAGTGGCAGGCGGAGATCGGGCGGGGCGGGTATGGCAGCGTGTACAAGGCGGTGCTCAAGGACAAGACGGTGGTGGCCGTGAAGCGGCTGGATGTGGTGAGAAGGAGTGGGAGGGAGTGAAAGGGGGTGATAGTGAGGTTGGGAGGGGCGGGTATGGCAGCGTGTACAAGGCGGTGCTCAAGGACAAGACGGTGGTGGCCGTGAAGCGGCTGGATGTGGTGAGAAGGAGTGGGAGGGAGTGAAAGGGGGTGATAGTGAGGTTGGGAGGGGCGGGTATGGCAGCGTGTACAAGGCGGTGCTCAAGGACAAGACGGTGGTGGCCGTGAAGCGGCTGGATGTGGTGAGAAGGAGTGGGAGGGAGTGAAAGGGGGTGATAGTGAGGTCGGGAGGGGCGGGTATGGCAGCGTGTACAAGGCGGTGCTCAAGGACAAGACGGTGGTGGCCGTGAAGCGGCTGGATGTGGTGAGAAGGAGTGGGAGGGAGTGAAAGGGAGTGATAGTGAGGTCGGGCGGGGCGGGTATGGCAGCGTGTACAAGGCAGTGCTGCGAGACAAGACGGTGGTGGCTATGAAGCGGCTGGATGTGGTGGGTGGGTGGGAGTGAGAAGGAGTGAGAGGGGGTGAGAGGGAGTGAGAAGTTCACTGCTGTCTTTGTTAAAATATATATTGTGTAGCATGCCAACACATGTGACTGTACACCAATTGTGGTGTACAGTTGGGTTGGGACTACACCCAACTATGGGTGTAGTCTTGCACTTTGGGGTGCCAATCCACCCAATTGTGGTGGAGCCCCCAAATGCAACCCTCTTGACTTGTGGGTACCTCACTTCCCACAATTGAGGTTACCCCAAGCCAAGTGGGCCTAGGGTTGCCTCACTTCTACAAAGTGTGGGCAACCCAACCCACTTGACCTATGGTTCCCTCACTTCCCCAAGTGAGGTCAACCCAACCTATGGTCACTTTCATCCTTCCCTTCCAACCTTCCCTTCCAACTATGTATGCTAGGTTGTTCCTCTAATCTAATTACTTGTTCGATTCACAATCTTCACAGTCTTGTGTTGTGTGCACCACCGCCACCTGGTGATTTTCCTGAGGCTCTGTCTCTAGCGAACTCCCTCCCAGGCGCCCTCCCCCTCTCAGGTGTCAGACCAGACCAGGGCGACAGGGAGTTCATCCGGGAGGTATAACGTGCATCACTGCCACCTGGTGAATCACCTCGTTCACCTCTTCCCCGCGCACCTCTTCCCCGCGCACCTCTTCCCCGCGCACCCTTCCTCCTCATCTCAGGTGTCAGACCAGGGCGACAGGGAGTTCATTTGGGAGGTATTGCGTGCATCACTCCCACCTAGTGAAACACCTGGTGCACCTCCGTCTGCCCCCCCCCCCCCCCCCTTCTCCCTCGCAGGTGTCGGACCAGGGCGACAGGGAGTTCATCCGCGAGGTGGAGCTGCTCTCACGCGTGCACCACCGGCACCTGGTGAATCTCCTGGGCTTCTGTGCGGAGAAGGAGGAGCGCGCGCTCGTGTACGAGTACATGGGGCTGGGGTCGCTGTTCGACCACCTGCACGGTGAGAGAGATGAGGGCATGTATGCTGAGGGTGTGTGGGGGCACCAGGGTGGGGTGTACGAATGGTATGTGCATGGGGCTGGGGTCGCTTTTCGACCACTTGCATGGTGAATGGTGAACGAGTAGCACGTGTTTGTCCATAGCTATTGATTGAAGCATAACCGCACTGCTGACCTTGTGTGCTGAGAAGGAGGAGCGTGCGCTCGTGTACGAGTGCATGGGGCTGGGGTCGCTGTTTGACCACCTGCACGGTGAGAGAGGGGGGTTGTGGGCTGAGGGTATGTATGGGTACGTATGGGTGCAGAAGGGTGGGATGTATAGCTGGTAGGTACATGGGGCTGGGCTCTCTCTTCGACCACCTGCATGGTGAGAGCATGGGCTGGGCTGAGAGGGTACATGTGGGTGCAGTAGGGTGTGTGTGTGTGTGTGTGTGGGGGGGGGGGGGGGGGGCGTGTGGGCGTGTGAAAGCATGGTGGGTGGGAGGACGGGGTCTGTGATGACTGTGTGTGTGGCTGTATAAGGATGGATGGAAACATCTGGTGCATTGCACGGGTATGCAGGGATTGAATGGCCTTTTCCCCTCCCCTCTCCCAGGCCCACACGCCAAGGAAACCCCTCTCTCGTGGGATTCGCGCATCAAGATCGCCATTCACGTGGCTTTCTTACCTCCCCCTCACTACGCCCACCCACCTTCCCCCCGTCTCCCCCTCCCCCCCCCCCTTTTCTCTCCTAGGCCCACACGCCAAGGAAACCCCTCTCTCGTGGGATTCGCGCATCAAGATCGCCATCCACGTGGCTCTCGGCATCGACTATCTGCACTACGGCGCCGACCCGCCGCTCATCCACCGGTGAGCGTGTGAAGCATTTACCTGTGGGGTGGGGATGCGGTGGGGCTTGGTCATCCCATCAAGATCGCCATTCACATGGCGCTCAGCATTGGCTATCTGCACTATGGTGCCGACCCGCCGCTCATCCACCGGTGAGGCTTTTCAACCGCTGCCCACCTGTGAGGCGGTGAGGAGGTGAGGAGGTGAGGGGTGACGAGGTTGCAAGCTTTGGGCTTCCAATCAAGATCGCCATCCACGTGGCGCTTGGCTCGGGCATTGACTATCTGCACCACGGGGCAGATCCCCCCTCTTTTTCACCGGTGACCCTGTGAGGTGGTGAGGGTGTGTGCGGGGCTTGGCCTTATTGCCATTCACTAGTGGTGTGCTTTTGAACTGCCCCCCCACCCGCCCGGCATCGACTATCTGCACCACGGCGCCGACCCCCCACTCATCCGCCGGTGAGCCGTAGCCTTCCTAACCATGGCCCATCTGCAGCAGGGAGCCTGTGAACCTGTGACTTCCTTTCCCCCTCCCCCCCGCCTCTCCCCTTCCAGACGACAGACTGGCCAAGGTAGCGGATTGTGGGCCGTGCAAGGAGGTCCTGGTGGTGCATAAGGTGGTTGGCTGCCTGAGCATAAGGTGGTTGGCTGCCTGAGCATAAGGTGGTTGGCTGCCTGAGCATAAGGTGGTTGGCTGCCTGAGCATAAGGTGGTTGGCTGCCTGAGCAGAAGGTGGTTGGCTGCCTGAGCATAAGGTGGTTGGCTGCCTGAGCATAAGGTGGTTGGCTGCCTGAGCATAAGGTGGTTGGCTGCCTGAGCATAAGGTGGTTGGCTGCCTGAGCATAAGGTGGTTGGCTGCCTGAGCATAAGGTGGTTGGCTGCCTGAGCATAAGGTGGTTGGCTGCCTGAGCAGAAGGTGGTTGGCTGCCTGAGCATAAGGTGGTTGGCTGCCTGAGCATAAGGTGGTTGGCTGCCTGAGCATAAGGTGGTTGGCTGCCTGAGCATAAGGTGGTTGGCTGCCTGAGCATAAGGTGGTTGGCTGCCTGAGCATAAGGTGGTTGGCTGCCTGAGCATAAGGTGGTTGGCTGCCTGAGCATAAGGTGGTTGGCTGCCTGAGCACCCTGAAATCCCCTTTCCCTCCCCTCCCGTCAGTGACATCAAGTCAAACAACATTCTCCTCTCAGAAGACAAACTAGCCAAGGTAGCCGGCTCGGGGCTGTGCAAGGAGGTACCGGTGGACGTTACTCCAGAAGGCCAGCCTCCTCTCACCATTCCCCCCCCCACACCTGCTCCCTTCCCCTCCCCCAGTGACATCAAGTCAGGCAACATCCTTCTGTCCGAAGATGGGTTGGCAAAAGTAGCTGATTTCGGGCTGTGCAAGGAGGTGCCGGTGGACGTGACGCCAGAGGGCCAGCCGCAGCTGCTGCCGCCCACCACGGCGGTGCGGGGGTCGTTTGGGTACCTGGACCCTGAGTATGTGAGCACGTCGCTGCTCACCGACAAGAGCGACGTGTACAGCTACGGGGTCGTGCTGCTGGAGTTATTGTCGGGGAAATATGCCATCCATGAGAAGCAGCCACTCGCATACTGGGTAAGCTAAACGCATGGGAGTGGGCATACTGGGTGGGTCGTTCGGGTACCTGGACCCCGAGTATGTGAGCACATCGCTGCTCAGCTCACTGAAAAGAGCGACGTGTACAGCTATGGGGTCGTGCTGCTGGAACTGCTCAGTGGAAAATGCGATTTATGAGAAGCAGCCGCTTGCATACTGGGTGAGTGGGTGGGCGGGTGGGTGGGTGGGTGGGTGGGAGTGGCAGTGTGTGTGCATGGTGCGACGTGTACAGCTACGTGGGCGGCGGTGTTTATGCTCGAGGCACGGCCTTATATGCACAGCTATGTGGTTATGCTCGAGGCACGGCCTTACATGCACAGCTATGTGGTTATGCTCGAGGCACGGCCTTACATGCACAGCTATGTGGTTATGCTCGAGGCACGGCCTTACATGCACAGCTATGTGGTTATGCTCGAGGCACGGCCTTACATGCACAGCTATGTGGTTATGCTCGAGGCACGGCCTTACATGCACAGCTATGTGGTTATGCTCGAGGCACGGCCTTACATGCACAGCTATGTGGTTATGCTCGAGGCACGGCCTTACATGCACAGCTATGTGGTTATGCTCGAGGCACGGCCTTACATGCACAGCTATGTGGTTATGCTCGAGGCACGGCCTTACATGCACAGCTATGTGGTTATGCTCGAGGCACGGCCTTACATGCACAGCTATGTGGTTATGCTCGAGGCACGGCCTTACATGCACAGCTATGTGGTTATGCTCGAGGCACGGCCTTACATGCACAGCTATGTGGTTATGCTCGAGGCACGGCCTTACATGCACAGCTATGTGGTTATGCTCGAGGCACGGCCTTACATGCACAGCTATGTGGTTATGCTCGAGGCACGGCCTTACATGCACAGCTATGTGGTTATGCTCGAGGCACGGCCTTACATGCACAGCTATGTGGTTATGCTCGAGGCACGGCCTTACATGCACAGCTATGTGGTTATGCTCGAGGCACGGCCTTACATGCACAGCTATGTGGTTATGCTCGAGGCACGGCCTTACATGCACAGCTATGTGGTTATGCTCGAGGCACGGCCTTACATGCACAGCTATGTGGTTATGCTCGAGGCACGGCCTTACATGCACAGCTATGTGGTTATGCTCGAGGCACGGCCTTACATGCACAGCTATGTGGTTATGCTCGAGGCACGGCCTTACATGCACAGCTATGTGGTTATGCTCGAGGCACGGCCTTACATGCACAGCTATGTGGTTATGCTCGAGGCACGGCCTTACGTGCACAGCTATGTGGTTGTGCCGGTGTAGCTGCTGTACTCAAGGGACACAACCCCGTGCTTCCAGAGCAAGTATCACTCTCACACCACACCTCCTTCACTCGAACCTCAACCCCTGCTCACCTCACCATCCCCGTCCCCATCTGCCTTCCCATGCGCACGCTGGACTCCTCGCTGGCCACCGTTTCCATTTTTGAGACGTCGCAATCCTCGCTCGTCACCGGTTCCATCCCTCCTCCGTGGTTTACTTGCCCTGTTGCTTCTGTCCTTGTGTCTCCAACTCCACTACCTCTGCTCCCGCCACGCGGAGGAGCACCGGATCAACAGAGAGCACCTGGTGGGGCTGCTGGACCCGCTGAAGCCAGTCCCAGTAGCCTTTCCACCCCCCTTCCTTGCTGCTGCTGCCTTGTGTTGCGCCTGTCTCCTCAACCCCCACTGTCTCCTCAACCCCCACTGTCTCCTCAACCCCCACTGTCTCCTCACAACCCCCACTGTCTCCTCAACCCCCACTGTCTCCTCAACCCCCACTGTCTCCTCACAACCCCCACTGTCTCCTCAACCCCCACTGTCTCCTCAACCCCCACTGTCTCCTCAACCCCCACTGTCTCCTCAACCCCCACTGTCTCCTCAACCCCCACTGTCTCCTCAACCCCCACTGTCTCCTCATCCCCCACTGTCTCCTCATCCCCCACTGTCTCCTCACAACCCCCACTGTCTCCTCAACCCCCACTGTCTCCTCAACCCCCACTGTCTCCTCAACCCCCACTGTCTCCTCATCCCCCACTGTCTCCTCAACCCCCACTGTCTCCTCAACCCCCACTGTCTCCTCAACCCCCACTGTCTCCTCAACCCCCACTGTCTCCTCAACCCCCACTGTCTCCTCAACCCCCACTGTCTCCTCATCCCCCACTGTCTCCTCACAACCCCCACTGTCTCCTCAACCCCCACTGTCTCCTCAACCCCCACTGTCTCCTCAACCCCCACTGTCTCCTCAACCCCCACTGTCTCCTCAACCCCCACTGTCTCCTCAACCCCCACTGTCTCCTCACAACCCCCACTGTCTCCTCAACCCCCACTGTCTCCTCAACCCCCACTGTCTCCTCAACCCCCACTGTCTCCTCAACCCCCACTGTCTCCTCAACCCCCACTGTCTCCTCAACCCCCACTGTCTCCTCATCCCCCACTGTCTCCTCAACCCCCACTGTCTCCTCAACCCCCACTGTCTCCTCAACCCCCACTGTCTCCTCAACCCCCACTGTCTCCTCATCCCCCACTGTCTCCTCACAACCCCCACTGTCTCCTCAACCCCCACTGTCTCCTCAACCCCCACTGTCTCCTCAACCCCCACTGTCTCCTCAACCCCCACTGTCCTCAACCCCCACTGTCTCCTCAACCCCCACTGTCTCCTCAACCCCCACTGTCTCCTCAACCCCCACTGTCTCCTCATCCCCCACTGTCTCCTCAACCCCCACTGTCTCCTCAACCCCCACTGTCTCCTCAACCCCCACTGTCTCCTCATCCCCCACTGTCTCCTCACAACCCCCACTGTCTCCTCAACCCCCACTGTCTCCTCAACCCCCACTGTCTCCTCAACCCCCACTGTCTCCTCAACCCCCACTGTCTCCTCAACCTCTACCTCTGCCTCTACCTCTGCCTCCGCCTCTGCCTCTGCCTCTGCCTCTGCCTCCACCTCTGCCTCTGCCTCTGCCTCTGCCTCTGCCTCTGCCTCCACCTCTGCCTCTGCCTCTGCCTCTGCCTCTGCCTCTGCCTCTGCCTCTGCCTCTGCCTCTGCCTCTGCCTCTACCTCTGCCTCTGCCTCTGCCTCCCCCCACTAACACACCTCCCAGGCGGAGGAGTACCTAATGGACAGCGAGCGCCTGGTGGAGCTGCTGGACCTGGCTGTATCCAGTAGCGTCCCCTCCTTGCTTGCTGCATTGTGCTGTGCCTCTGCCTCCCACCACTGCGCCTGCCCGGCCGTGTATGTGCCTCCCACCAGGCGGAGGAGTATCTGATGGACAGCGAGCGCCTGGTGGAGCTGCTGGACCCAACTGAAGCCCGTGGCCTTTGTCTCCTTGTGTGCTGTCCAATGTTCTGCATCCCCCTCCCACTCCCCATCCCCCACGTCTGCCAGGCGGAGGAGTACCTAATGGACAGCGAGCGCCTGGTGGAGCTGCTGGACCCGGTGCTGGGCAGCGACTACGACCTGCATGAGGCGCAGATTCTGTGTGATATCGCCAGGAGCTGCGTGCAGGTGAGAGTAGCATGTGTGCCGGTGCGAGTGGGGTGCATTGGCTGAGAGGTATATGTGCGTGTGCATTGGTCACATGTCCCGCTCGGAACAGCGACTACGACCTGCATGAGGCACAGATTCTGTGTGACATTGCCAGGAGCTGCGTGCAGGTGAGCAGCAGATTCCACCCCTGAATCCAGCACCCATTCTGATGCCACACTCCATCTCTCGGCCTCTCCCCCCCTTCCTCCACCCCTCCGTACCGCGCAGGACCGTTCTGCGGACCGGCCGGCCATCAGGGACGTGGCGCAGGCGCTGGTGGAGCATCTGGGGCGCGTGGTGGTGATGGCCTCCTCCACCGCCTCCTCCGAGTACAGCTATGGCTACTCCTATGATGACTATGGCTCGCAGCAGCCTTTCTTTTCGGGCAGCCTGCCCGACACCTCGGGCAGCTACACGGGGGGTTCGCCAGGGAATCCGGTTGCTGGTGGTGGTGCGAATGGTGGTGCGGGTGGGAAGGCGGGGAATGGTGGGACGGGGGATGGGTTCACGTTTCGGAATTGCCAGTCACAGCCAATCATCATCGCGCGTGCGGGTGGGGGAGTGGAGGGGAGTGGGGAGGACGGGGGAGGGGAGGGGGATGGGGGAGCGGGGAGTGTGCAGATGTCAACGGGTGTGCATGGCAACAGGCCTCCTGTGCCCATTGGGGCGCATGAGGGCACGGTGTGAGGGGCCTTTAGGGACATTCCTTCCTTCCATGTGATGTGTGCTATGGGGGGTCGATGTTTGTTACAGTAGGGTTTAGTGCAGGGGAAGGTGTAGAAAGGGGCTTGGTTTGTGGTGTTGTGAAATAAGGCTGGGTGTGCCACCCGCAGGCCAAATGGTGCAATTCTGATGTGATGTGAATGTGTCAAAATGTGTTTGCATACATTTTGTGCAACTGCTGTAGTGTAGTTATATAAATCACCTCCTGTAGGTAGTGAACTTCCTGTAATCATATTATTCACCTCATGCTTCTCTTTGCCTTGTTTCCCAAACCCTATAGTGAAGTGAAACACCTCCTTCCTTCATTTTCCCCTCGCCAACTTTCCTCCTGCCATGGATCTCCTTGTCAAAGTACTGTACGTACACCGAAATGAGCATGACTAGCAAGAGATGGGTACATATCGTTGGAAACATATAGTTCGCGCTTCTGATGTGTCGAGTATTAGAATGGACTAAACTACTAGCGGAAGCTTTAGTAGTCTTAGAACCTCCTCCTAAAGCCTAGGAATCTTAGGAGCCCACTTGGGCATGAACCATGCTAGAACCAAAGTGGTTTCCAAGAAGTGTTGTTCCAACAAGAGAGAACCCTAACCTATAGGGTTTGGGAGGTGGTCCACTCTAAAGAGTGTACACCACAAGTTCTCCCAACCCAACCAATATATTCTACACTACTATAGTGTAGATGTACCACTACATATGTTTATTGGAGCAACCCGAATTAACCTTAATTCCAACATCGAGCACTACAACGAAAGCGAAACGAACTAAAGTGAATCAACAGCGAGTCAACAAAAGCGGTTGACAGAAAGACAACAGCAAGAGGTTGAGTGAAGGTCAAAGGTCAGCGACCTTTGACTCGCCGAAGGCAGCGCGACAGCAAGGACACATAGCTGACTCGATACTGAGCAGTTACCCGAGTCGTCGCTGTATCGAACCGCAACAGCAGTTACAGTTAGTTAAACCTTTCGTATTCCTTATAATCATATTAAAGCTTGTATCTCTTTGTTATTATCAAGTTATCCTGTTCTCACATACTAGTGCAAGGTGGTTCAATCAGTTCACTAATACGCTTCCACTAAAACATCACTACTCTGAGCCTTTAGTCTTGAAAAACGATCCTAAGGGCTTTTCTCAGCCCAACATGGTATGAGAGCTAGCAAGACAAAAAGACAACTGTGTTCAAGCTCCTACAACAACGGAAGGCATGGCTACGCAGAAAGAGAGAAGCTCGGCTCGTCTACTGGATCTCCAAGTAACTCCTACTCCACCACTAGCCTCTGGATTACAGACAGAGAGAGGCACAACCCAAGTACCAGCTGCTGAGCCTACTGAAACTCCAGCCAGTCAAGCTACCGGCTTCGACCCAAGCATGATGGAGAAGTTCTTCTCCTTCATGTCGCTCTACGAGCAACACCAACAAGCAGAACCTGCGCAGTCAAACAACAGCGATAACAACAACGGAGTCACTCCCATGAGCCTCGACGGTTCATCATTTGCGCGCGGAAATCAGCAACCTACCTTCGCACCGTATGAGCATCAACGCGGCTCTGTCAGCTTCATGCCGAATCGACTCTAGACGAGAAACGAAGACACTGGACGCACTTCAGTTGCAGTCAAAGTTTGCGAACGTTCTGAAACTGCAAACGACAACGCCATTCGACGGCAAAGATTTCTATACCTGGTCCTTTGAGTTCGAGCTTATGATGGAGGGCGCCCAAATCCTTGGCTTCTTCGACGGTTCCCTGCCATATCCAACGCATGGGACACAGTACGACAAGCAGCAGTACACGTATCAGTCACTCATGGCGTACACCATCCTCCTGCGAAACATAACGCCAAACGAGCAGAAGAACATGCGGTCTTATCGCGGATACAATAACTCCGCCGAGCTCGCATACAACCACCTGAAGAATCTGTACCAAGCAACCGACAGCGTTAATCAAAGTCGTCTCATGGCGCAATTGACAACAATTCAAATGCAACCGGGCGAAAAGGGGATGGCATATATCAGTCGCTGTCGCGGATTGCGCGATAGACTCCTTCGATGCGGCGGATCAATATCCGAAGAAGCGTTCGTCACTGTCATCATCACATGCCTCGGTCCTCAGTGGCGCTCCAATCGAGCTATTCTCCGAGCTCACGGAAGAATCTCCGAAGCAAACCTCTGCGCTGAAATCTACGCCGAGCAACAGGACATGGACCTGCACGAAGAACGTCACAAGAAGAAGGCATCAGTACCGGAGTTCGCATTTCACACTCAGCGGCGCAACAACAACAACCGACAACACCAGCACCAAGCACGAAGATACGTACCACCGTTATGTCATCTCTGCAAAACGTCAGGACACTCTCGCGTTCACTGCCCAAATCAACAGCAATCAACACCACCACCACGCCAGCTTCGACCTTCAAGCAGTCAGGTGGCTTCCACACAGCCACATCCTTCCAACCAGGCGCCGCCTTCAACGACGACGTCCCAACCTGCACGAAGAACAAGAAATATCATAAGTTGCATGACAAGAACAGACTCTTGCATCACCGGTTCACCACCGACCTACTCACCAGAAGAACTGCTCGACGAAAGCACGCCTCGTCGCGAATCACTGGAACCAAATCCGACGTACGCAGCTATCGCACAGAGCGAACCATCCGATCAAGACACTTGGTTCCTGGAGAGCTGCTGCGGACAACATATGTGCTCATCAAACCGCTTCGTCCAATGGAAACAACGCCTCAATCGAGATGTTGTGATCACCGTCGCCAACAACCAAAACCTGCGCACATGACGACAAGGAGTAGTTCAACTTCAGTCCCGCGAGACCAACGTCGTCTTACAAATATCGAAGGTTTTAAATGCAGAAGGACTGGGCTACAACTTACTCATCGTCAGCCAGCTCATGGCAAAAGGAATTCATCTTGAAGCCGACATCACCACTCAGGAATTCAGACTTTACATTGGAAGAGCAATCCTGAAGAACACCGTCTACGTCCTTGACTTCGTCCCAGATCAAGGATCCGCTTACAGCGACGCGATTGTTATCTTCACCACTTGGTCGCACACACCAGATCTCGACCCCGACTTCAGCTTCGGAGGATTGTGGTACTCGCACACCATACCTGAAGCAGAATGAACAAGGGCGTTAGCGGTGATCCAAGAGACATCCGGAGAAGCATCAACATCGGCAGCAGCAGAGACAACAGCAGCAGAGACAGCAACAGCAGAGACAACAGCAGCAGAGACAGTAGCAGCGGAGACATCAGCAGAAGCAGCGGCAATGGCAGCAGCAGCGGCAACGGCAGCAGCAGCGACAACGGGAGCAGCAGCGGCAACATCGGCAGAAGCAGAGACAAAGACACCATCATCAACGCCCGCTCAGTAGCTGACTCCTGCCCCACGCAACGTTCACCGAAGCGCCAACATCACTGCCAGCTTTTACTCCAACTCCGATCTGTACAGACGTTCACCTAGACATCGCGCTGACGAATCATTATGGCATCAAAGGTTAGGGCATCCTATCAACACAACGCTGAACAACACGATAAGAGCAGGAGTGCTCGATAAAGACTCACTACTCCTACCCGACGGCAGAGAACTTCAACGAGTCCGCGGAACCTGCTTTACCTGCCCTGAAGCCGACTTACCCCATCAGCCGTTTGTCTCTCTTCACAACCCAAGCGCGCCAGCCTATGCACCGCTGGAGAAGGTTTACAGCGACATACTGTACGCCCGCGAAAGCGGACAAGGAGCCTACAACTATGTCATCACCTTCATCGACGCCGCCACTAGATACGTCTGGCACCTCAATCTTCCGAGTCGCAACATGGCCCTCGAAGCCTTCGTCGCATGGCTTCCAGTAGGAGAAAGGGAATCAAGAGTGAAGCTGAAAAGCTTCCAGTCAGACGGGGGAGGAGAATATCAGTCACAGTGGTTCAAGCAGTACATGGCGGAGAGGGGCATCAAGCGACTCATCTCTCTTCCCTACGCTCATCAGCAGCAAGGCGTGGCAGAAAGAATGAGCAGGACCCTCCAGAACACCATGCGCAAGCTGCTACGTGGCATGCGGCTACCCAACCATCAGTGGCCTGAGGTGATGGACCACGCTGTGCTGTTGTACAACTTGCTTTCGTCATCCTCGCTTCCGAACAACGCATCACCGCATCTGCTGTGGACAGGAAAATTGGGCAACACAAAAATGTTACGGGTTTTTTGCTGCATGGTACAGTACCAACCACACACTGCACGAGCCGGAAGATTCTCACAACGCGCACAGTGGGGACTACACCTGGGCATCGAAAAACACTACAACGCATAGAAAATCTTCGACGTCCACTCAAAGGAAACAGTAGCAGCACGTGACGTGATTTTCTACGAACGACTCACTCTCCAAACGTACCTGGACAACTTGGCAGCAGAACGAGACCTCATGGACGGCTTCCGTGGCAACCGAGCCTTCGCCACACTAGCCGATGAGGCTGACTGGGATGAGCAAAACGTGGACGGAGCATCCGAGGAAGCCGGATCCCTTCCTTACTGCTCGGTACCTGTTCCGACGGACGACGAAAATCCTCGCGAAAGCATCAACGCCTGAGTCTACTACGACTTCTCCAACAATGGTTACGTTGCACCCCAGCCGGTCAACACCAAAGTTTCGGAACGCATAGGTCCCAACTTCTTACCTGATCCAGAAGCGGGAGACGAAGCAGTCTATCCTGAGGACCCAAATCTCCTGGAAGATAGTACCCATCGGAGTGGCACGCAACAAAACTATCCTAACGAGAAAGTGGGTCTTCCACGTGAAGACAAAAGCTGACGGAACAATTGACAAGTTCAAGGCACGATGGGTCGTGCGCGGCTTCGATCAAGAGCACGGACGAGATTTCACCTAGAACTTCGCGCCGATCAGCCGACATACCTCTCTGCGAATCCTTCTCGCAATAGCCGCCATGAAGCGGAAGAAGCTCCG